TCAGTACGCTAACTCAAGACAATAGTTGGCAGTAAATAGGAAAAGTGGAAGAAAAAAAAATAGAAAAAACAAGGGGGGCTGGACCAAGGGACTAGCGTACCCCTAGGAAAAGAAGAGGATTTTGGGGATGCATGCGTTCTAGGCAAGTGTTTCGATAGAGAATAATAATCCATGAACAAGAGGGTGCATTCCTGACTGAGGCAGCAAAGGTAAGCTATCGGGCGAACACCTGCACCAGTCGGCCATGGTGCCCTAGTGTAAGAGTGAGGTAATAGGCACTTGCCGGGCCTTCGGCACACGGGTATACCGACCACCCTCGTGGACCCAGCAAGCTAGGTATACGCCGCGATATTCAACCATGCATTCCCAGTAGAGGAGAGGATATCATCCAAAAGAGAAGACAAAATCCGAAGCAATCAAGCTGGTACCCCACACTCATGGCACAAACTAACATCTGTTTCTTTATTACTAGAAGGAGGGCTATCACGAATGGTCTGACACTACCCAGAGGTACTACTGAATCCCTCGGCCAGTATATATAAATCGAAACTCGTTGTTATATGTAGTTGTACGAAGCTTGTATTTTTTTGGTGTAACAGCAAGAAAGAGGATTTCAACTAGTTTGATGGAGACGAAAGAATTCAGCAAATACACAACCTTTCTCCTGAACTGTGAATCCGATTCCGGGCGCCAGCTCGAACTGAGTTCCAGGATCAACAATAACAATTTGGCCTGGGTATACGGCTACTTCGGAGCTGACACTGAAAAAGTGACAATTCGTTATAAGCCCACGTTATTTTCCTTTCCCAAATGGTTCCATTCTGCTCGAGTGACACGAACAGGTTAAGTGATGGACCGTATTGAAAGTAACAATTTTTCTGATGTTGAACAATGGTGCTGTGGGGGACACCCACTCACTTGGCTTTCATCCAAAGATTCAGTGGACCTTGATGCTTCTTGGAAGAGGGAGGGGATGAGGTAACAGTGGGTGAAAAACCAGCGCTTTAATCTCTCCTCCTCAGATGCGTCAGGTAATTTACTTAACAGCTATGCAAGCCTAAGATGGGCTGGTAATGGTCCAGTGCAGAGTCTGATCCACTGGCCGCACACAAAGACACCTTTCATTATTTCATCTTCTTCCGGTGAATATTTTCAATCACCTACATGACGCCATCGGATCGTAGGTAAAAGAGGATATGCTCGATGTTTCTCAGCTCTAGCGGGGCCATTTCTAGCAAAATAAGAAATCCAAAGCTCGAAGTTTGAACCTATCCTCCTACCTGTAAGGTTGTGGATTCGCTTTCACTTGATTGTAGGTGTTCTCGAAGGGCTTCAGCGGTGCAGCCGCCGCTACAGCTCTGCTGGTGGTCGTGCGAATGAGCTCCACAGGCGACTGCCGCTGTGCGGGCTCTGCCATTGCCTTTGGTTGGGGCAGAAGTGAGGGCACCGTAGGTCGCTCAGACAAATTCACGTCGTCAGAGGAGTCTGCTTCGAAGACTTCGTAATTCAAGGAGCGATTTAGGGCACAGATCTTTGGCAAAAACTAAAAGAGCAGCCAATAAAGGATTTACAAATTACAAACACCGAGAATCAACATTAAAGATGATTGGGCTTACATCTATTTCTTTTTCATGTCCCCAGTAATTATCTTCGACATCAGCATGAGAAGGAGCGGCCCTGGTTATTTCACAAGATGACTGAAAAACAGACAGTACTGGTCCTGCATGAGTCGAAGTCATCATCATTCCATCATTTCCTCGAAAACGCAGCAAGAATAAAGAATTTGAAGATAATAATGGGCAGAAAGATCATCAATCTAAGTAACGGGTGTACCTGGGGAGTGTAGAAGAGAGTGACAGGGTAGAAATCAGAAGATCGTACAACACTATCAAAGCGCCTGTCTTCGAGTAAAATACCTGCACATTGCTGAAATAGTTTCCTCTCACAGTCGCCCTAGGCACATCCAAGCTGACCACCGATTGAGCGAGATTTCCCATGAAATTGTTCTTCTCTAGTAGTATCGGTACGGTTTTACCTGAAACAGGAACAACTGAATAGTGCTATGTTCCTTTGGTTGGACAAAGGAGGGCTTCGTCATAAAAATATTTGTGCTCGCTGTAAACCTGTTCTTTTAATCATCGAAAACACGATTACAATATACAGGGTGTCTCAAAATTGGGGGCGCCGATTCATTGTATTGCACTTCAGACTTTAAGCCTAAAATGACAAAGGAATCTATAAACACAACTAACATGCTACAACCACATTCTAAAATATCTTCCATAAGCACGGATAGAGGCTTGAAGTCTGCTTTCTAACTCTCGCATGACGTAGGTGTCTCCTCCAATTCTTCCCAACCCTTCTTGAGCCTTGCTTTCAAGGACTCGTGGGACAGGTTCTCTTCTAATCAGGGGCTACAGTAGCGTTCAAAAGTATTTGGCCAACTTGAACTTGCCGTAACTTTTTTCCCAAATTGCATGAAATTTTGAAATGTTCGACTGAAGCTTATTTCACACTATCCAACACTATTTGACTACAAAACAGCAATATCCTCATAATTAAGGGGAAGGCGTTTGTAGACTATGCTGAGAGCAAGTTTGTGACGTCTGTAGTCATTCGCACCTTATTTGCGTTTTCTCTTCTGTGTTCCGCATTAGAGCCCGTACACTTTGGGCGTGGCAAAAAGAAAAGAAATCCCAGAAGCACCAATGTTCCTATTTCCAGCTGGTTTTGGTTTCAAGCTCTTTGGGATAATTGGAACATGATCAAAATGCAGTCGATAGTGGTAAATATATACACTACACCAATGCTACACATATTGAAATTTCGCTTGATTAGATCCAGTAGGAAAGGAGGTTATGACTGTAAAATACAATGAAGAGGCTTTTCGCAGAACACTTTTGAGCGCTACTGTATATGGAGAAGTCAAAGTATTTAGTTAAGATCTGCAGAGCGGGATGGCCATTCCCTCATGCTATGAAGTCGGGCAGCTGGCGCCGACAACAGCTTTAGAGTCCAGGTTGAGCTTGGCATTGTGGGCTAGAGTACCGTCCAAGAGCACTATGGATGGGCTCAGGAAGCAAAGTTATGTTTCAGTACCTCTACCAGGATGACAAGCGTGGCAGTAGTATCTGCTTTTGACGATTAGTAATGAAAGGGCGAACCTCCAAGATGACGCAGTTCCACCACATTATTCATGGCATTCTGTTCGAAACTGTTATCCATTATAGAGATTTTGGTTCCTGGAAAGATGACCGGAAAATAGACATTCTGAGAAGACCTTACTCATAACTCTACCGTTGCCAACATAATTTACCTGTGGCCTCTGCAAAAGTAGCGAATTTGATGACAGCTTCGTGTTCGCCAAAGTCATTTAGATGATTTGTCGTGAACTGGTTTCCTTTGATGACAACGTCGCTGTCGCGCACAAGAGATAGAGCTATTGTTAAACCCCGATTTTGAGTAAAATTCGAATTCATCGTTGAGATCTGAAGAGAATTCGTACTCCCATTCTACTGTAATCCATCGGTAAGAGCTGACTCGGACTTCTTCAGTCGTTCATTAGAAGCATCTCGAGAAATCGACTTACCGTACTATTCACAGTAGCTCCTTCGAAGACGATACCCTTGTTGAAATTGTCTTCTATTAGGCAACGGTCTATTGTGAATCGCAGATTGGTGGCATTTTCAAAGTGCACAGCTGCAGCATAGTAATGGCCGGTGATGTTGGCGTTGATAATCTGCAATATTTTTCGGATCACCTCGACAAACTTACTAAATAGCACTTCCAGAAGGCAGTACACACGCGAAAAGGAGTTGCTATTAGTTCAGAGGTTGACACGAGATTTTTTTGCATAGTATTTACAGATCGTCGATGGGTTGGACTGGACATTTTCACACATGATCAGATACAATTTAGGTCTCATATCAGATTTCTAACCACAAGTGATACATAACTGGGAATGACCACGAACGGTAAGATTGCTGCTGATCTCGTGCTTTTTGTTCTGCTGCAAAGTTGACCCAAAAGGGATCTAGTCTTTCGAATGCTGAAATTAATGGTGCCCAGTTATACCAGTACAGCCGTATCTCTATGCTTGAATACGAGGATAAGAATACCCGCAGCTATTACAAAACCAAATTATGCTGGAAAATGGGTAGAGACCCAAAATTACGTCTTGCCTGAATTTCTGAAGAAGTCCATCCTCAGAGTTGCCTATTTTATTTCCCTTCTCCCCCTCACCCTCTCCTCTAGTATTGCAATGCAGCTATGACTGTTACAGCAAAACTGCCCCTCCTTCCTCCATGATAAATACTACTCCTATCATTGAAAAAGTATGGTATGATAGCGAATAATTGTAGAAACGAAGAATTACTATTATATTAAAGCCATAATAACTGGTTTGCCACAAAAAACTGATATTCATTAGCGTAAGTTGCACCTATGAAATGAGCACCCACCTCGACAGTTAGCTCCTTTCCCGATTTCTTCCACTTGCTTACTCGAATCCCATTCGCTCCGTTCGAACTCGCCGCAGACCGTTCGATACGAATTGCGGAGGCAGCTTCGGTTACCGCAATGCCATGACGACTGTTCGAAAAAGCATGTGAATCCAAAATGGAGACGTTGCCCACAGTTTCCACATAGAAGCCGTCTTCGCGATTGGACGCCGACAGACATGATTCCAACCGAACGTCGCCCTGCAAAAACGTTGCGAAATTGAATGCGGACGGCTGTTTGGTTTAACATTTGCAGCTATGATAGGAAACGTTACATGTTTGGTGGGAAACGGGATGGAAAAGAAGAGAAGGTGCAGTTCCTCTGTGGTGACAGCTAATTTTCTGGCATGTCACTGTATATTGTTCACTGCTTTTTTTTGTAGCAACATTAAGGAAATCTCCAACTGTCTATTCCCTGCTCTCGACGTCGTTAGTGTCAATTTATATTCCGAATGTTTCGAAACTTTAAAGTGCGTTTCATAAGTATAAGATCACCCTCGAATTCAATATTTACAGAATATGCAGCCAAACACATGTCTTTCTATCACCACCATTAGATTCATCACCTTCAAAAACCTCCATATACTTGCTTTGGTTTGCACAACTTTTGTAACATCATTTATAAAGATTATTTTCGATTTTTTTGCCGTTTCATAGTGATAGGATTGCCTCCGACAGCACGAAGGTTTCGAAATAGAGTGTGTCAGAATTTGCACTTGGAGGGATCTATATAGGAAAGAATGTGTCGCAGAGGCATCTTTCATAGTCCACGACCGGTCGCGCGACCAGTCGCGCGAGACCAGCGACCGGTCGCGCGACCGGTCGCCGGTCGCTCGTGAGATGGGTCCGCGACCAGTCGTGCGACCGGTCGTGGACTATGAAAGATGCCAGACATGTTTGAAATCAATATGCACCTTGCGTCGCGAAGGTCATCTTTCTTTAGAAGAAAAACCACAAAATCAAAGTTTTCGTGATTCAGGGTTCAGTACGACTTCAACGAGGAGGAAAATCGCGGGATCCCTTAGTTCCGTACAAAGATATTTGTAGACTACAGAGAGAGGATGCCGGCGCAAGCTAAATGCGAACTACGAGAGGAGAATGCTAAGAACTATTTCGGACAAAACCTTGCCTTGAACAAAGCTCGATCGGAGTTGGGTCTCCCGGTGTCCAAACTACTGAATGAAGAGCTGAGAAAAAGAACAGCAGCATTGACAGTGCAGCAATGAGGAGGTCTCCGAGGCTTACCGACCACCACAGGAAGCACGACTTGAATTTACGAAGTTGAATTTGAGATGAGATTGGACGAAAGTCGACCTGTTTTACCGAATAGCCATACAGTCCACTATTCTCGTCTGAGTCGAATTTCTCGATGAAAAGAAAGTTGATTTGGAACGCCCTGATGGTTTCAACTACTGCGGGCATGACTTACAAATAAGGCCGATCAACTCTAGTCGTCGATACGCATACGCATGGTCACGGGTTCAAACTCCGGATCGATATCCACCTAGTCCAACCAAGCCTTCCATCCCTCCGGGGTAGGTGAACTGGTACCAGACTTATCTGGGAGGATAGAAGGAGACGGAGACGGACTTGTACATCGGCTGGCTACCGCATGTCATTGTATAGACCGCATACGCATTCAATACTCCATTACNATTCTGAATGGAGGTCGAATGTGTGGGCGCATCTCTCAACCGGTGTTGATTGACGCCCCAAGACTTCATTCTTTTTTTTATTTATCGGCGGTTACCATACGCGCTGTAATATTCAACATTGTACGTGTACGATAAATTCATTGGTCAACAACCCAAATAGATGCAACGACTATTAGAACACAACCCCTTCTGTGTGAGTTCTTCACAGTGAGAAACAAAAGGTGAATCGGCCGAGTCTGATATCCTTGTAAACTCCTGCATGAGGATCACAGGAATAGGGCCACAGAAAACGCTTTTTTCGCTTGCTGACAACAAAATATAAAGCAGATTCACTACCGATCCTCCCCAAGGGAACCATCAAGGTGAATGTGTACCTATTCTCTCCTGTGGAAAGTACGAGAAAAGTTTGTTTCCCACCGGCTAGTATCAAACATTCGAGCTTCTTTAATTATATGATGCAGTATAGTCCTAACACAATGGGAGTCGTAGTGTTCTCTAGTAAGCACGAACTGCCCAAAGGTGTCCGTTACAAACAAGTAGCAATCCACCTCGTTTCGCTAATGCTCAAACAAGCTTAAGAAGCGCACGGCATAATCACAATCGACACACAAACGATTCATGCCATGAAGGATGCTTGCGCAACCTTGCAGTGCAGCCACGTCAAGCAGTGTTTCCTTTCCCATGCACGACATTTGAAGGGCTGTCAACCGGTTCAATGTCGCTCTAGTCCACAGCGAGGGCTTCTTTGTTTCAAAATGCCTAGAAGTGCTGCTAACATATCAGAGTGTTACGTTGAAGTCAGATGCTCATGCTTCTAATCAGAAATGGTCTACTCCCATTCCCCTCCTCACAACCAGTCGTTTTCCTTATAACGATCATGGAAGAATTCATGGAGCTATAGACAGTGATGTCGTTGATCTCACATTACGTATCAGCTGTGTATCGAGAGTTTCAAGAAGACTCTATAGTAGACGGCGAAACCTGCGGCATTTCGAGATCGCCACCACAAGGGTATCGAAATTGTCTTTGAGGAGCTGAAGTAGTTGCTTCATGCTAATTGAATCAGCTGATCACGACAGATAAAGGATGAGGAAAAAACTTATTTTCCGCTGCGAACAACCAGTCCACAGCCCAACCAACGGCAACCATACACCACATACATCGTATGAGGTGTAGTGTGGTCATAAAATTCACAAGTTCATTATTTAAGGAATACTAGCATTCTTCACCTCTGAGAAACCCATCAATCACCGCAAGATCGAACTTGGCAAATGCATCACCATGTTCAATCATCTTGAATTAGGGCACCCAGTTGGCACCACAGACAATGGAAATCATTGGAAATCAGTAATTGTGGCCTAATTGCGTCTATCACGTAAACACCCGACATTCCGGTTTGGTATGCTTTAGAGGTCTTCTGAATCACGGCTAAGGNGAGGGCTTATCGTAGAGGTGCGATCAGGGGGCTTATACCGTAATCGATAGGAGATGATTGGGAGGTGAATAGTAGCGCCCTCGACCTTGGGTGGCTTCTGAGGAGATTTGATCTCGGTCTTCAGTCTTTTAGAGGCTCTTGAAGCAAGTTGACCCAAAATTCACCCATTAAAACCACCCCTCTGCTAATCCAAGGTGAACGGTGGACCGCTCAGGTCGACTACTCTGAAAATCACTTAGACTCTCAATTGTTTCAAATGATTCGCACCCTTCGAATTCCCTGCGTAGGTTGTATAACAGTGTATGATGGAACAGTTCTAGAATAGGTTTGTCTTCCTAGACTCTGAAGAAGGCAAAAGCGACTAAACGCAAGTCGAACACGGTGTTGCTGAAATCTCAGTTGCAATCTGTGAAAGCAAAAGTCTCAACTGAAGAGAAAAATGCCAAGGTTCATTGAGAGTCGAACTTGGGCAATGCTCGTGGCATATTCTAGTCTACAATGGATGCCGTGAGCAACAAAAGGAAAAAGCAAGACCAACAACAAGTGAGGACTGTTGCGACGAACGAGAAGACGCATACATAGGAACTATGGGCACGACAACCAACTCAGGCAGGACTGCCCTAACCAGACGCATATCAGTGCCTAACCGTAGCATCGACATTCTTGCGAGATCTGCTATGTGGTTAGACACCAGGCAGGTCAACTGCTGTTTGAAATCGTTGTTATATCATCAGATTGTTCGCCCGGGACTGTCATCAACGACAATCTCTTCAGTGAGTTATAATCACACGATTCCTTTCCCTTGTATGGGTGGGAATGGATGAACTAGCAAGGGCCTCACCGACTTCATGCTCACCACGCACTTCTCTCATCATATTCGTCGGTATGGCTTCAATCCCCTCCTATAACTTCTTCTCAATAAACATTCCTCTGGTACGTCTTGTTTTCTTTGTACGAAAATTACAGAAATCCAGTTCTCCCCAACCCTCCTGGTCACTAGTGCATTGATGAACAGTGCATCTTACACTTGTGATACTGTTGTTATTCACGTTGCAGCTATCGCTCGCTGATTTTGCCCCTTCCCCTCCCCCCAGTGTTATACGTTCACGATTGGTCTAACTTTTGAACCCGTATTTGTGCTTTACCGTACTTCGTTTAGTGTTTTTGAATAGTAAAGGCATCTCATCTTAGCGTCTCAAGTGTGCAATCAATTTAATAACTATTTTTATCTCATTAAAAGGTAGCCACTATTACAGCCCATTGGCGATACGGTTTTTGAACACCGCCCACATTCACTTGTATATAAGCCTGAAAGCTGATGTGTTATTGTCGGTTACTTTACAATCTGTGATGAATTTTGCACAGTATGATGAGATCAACTTCTCAACCGAGCAAACTCGACCTAATAACTTCTTATGAAGTCTCATTCACAGCGAACTATCATAATTTGGCTTTTCACAATTTTCACTTTTCAAAGTTACTCGACTGGTAGAGAGACTCGAATCCCTCTACCTGTCGAGTAACTTCCTTGAAATAAACACTTCTTTCTTACTGTTTTGCGCCCCTCTGTTCTTTTGTAACTTTCGAACCATTTATGTTGACACTTTTGAGGTAGCAGTCATAAGGTAAGGTGTAGTTTTGAAAGGAAATCATGCAAAACTGGTAGGGCATGGAAGGAAACGCGTGGAGGAGATGGTGAGCAAAAAAAACTTTAGGCAATATCCTAACAAATATCAATATGCTATAGCTAATATTCTGAAATTTCAAAGATCCATGAGCGCTTCTTCACAGGTGCTTTAAAATTTTCCATTTTTTTCCTCCATTCAAGCAAATCACTGGAAGTACTAGTCCTTTTCTCGAATCTCTTAGATTTATCACAGCACTCAGAAACTAAGTCAATGGAAAGCTTCCTATTCCACTTTACTCTCTTCTTCCGAATGAACAGCTGGTCATTTTTCAATCGAAATTGTCCCATGGAGCTATGTATGGCTTAGTATGGCAGCTCTTGTCTATCTTAGGATTCACTTTCAATACAAGGACCACAATTTCAGCCTACTGACCTGAACTTGGTCCCCATATTTGATTTCATCCAACAACCAGAACTCATGTAGCTGCCTTGTCTTTCCTGCTGGTCCTTTAGCCCCATGCAAGTGTTGAAAGATCTATTTATCTGACAAAATCACATCACAAAAGCAATCGTTGCGTACAGAATCGAACACATGGTGTATGTGATCACGAAACGTTTATTGAAGTGCTCCTTTCACCGTCAAAAAACAGTCTTATGTGCAGATAATGTACAGTGAAAGATCATATTTGTGCTCTTCTTGTTTTGGCCAGTTGCCAAATAGATTTCACAGATATCATCTAGTTGTGTAGATGCTGGTGTGCGAGTGTGATGAGTGACAGTTTGCTGGTGCACATGAGTGTTACCGGTACTGAAGAGGAATAGTGGACAGACAGTACTTCTCGCCGGAGCAGTACTGGTTACGGAAGGTCAGAACGAGACAATACCTTGGACGATATCCGAAAACCTGTGTTCTCGTTGTCAAGAGCTGACGAATTAACGATTCGCACACTGGAGTTTGTCTGAAATGGGGCAAGTTTCTTTCGTTTCCCCGTAATGACTGTCATTAGGACCCGTACCTGGATATCGAATCCGTTGTGATTTGATGAGGATATGACGTCTTCGATAGATGGCGGGATACCGCTCTTCACCGTGATTCCTAGCTTACTACCAGTGACATTTACGAATCGAAATACTGACGGGGCAGAAGCTGAAATCAATTCTTGCTCACATTGCATAAAAAATGAATGTTTTTCCAAAAAAATCGTTGATGCGCCTTTTTTGGATACTTCATGTCATGGTCCATTTGAATTATTACTACCATTATATTTGCGAACAACAGTACATACGGATACTGGAAATTACTCGTCGAAAGGTCCCACCACTATATAAGGTAGTAGCTAATGCAAGGAATAAAGGGCATGAGTCTGGAGACAGGGCTCGAGCCCCGCTCCTCAGGTTGAGCATTTCTACCGTAACACGCAATCCTTGTATGAATTACGGAACGTGGGCGACGACAGCAGTTAGCAAAAACACAACTCAAAATTAGTATTACAACAAGGTTATTACTCCTAATTTTTATTAATTTTTGTCTTCTGCCCGATGTCTTCTTTCTTCCATTTTTTTTTGTATTCACCAAAACGACTTAGTGGGTTTCATAGAAGGTAATCCTATTAGTAAGGAGACAAACATTATTTAAACTCTGAACACAGCAGAAAAGATGCTCCCGTGGTCCCTCGGAAACGGTTACGCTTCTTGAAGGACATCCTAATTTCTCCTACTCTACGATACTCTAAGTCTTCTCTGGATAAAACTATCGTAATGTTTTTTTATATTTGTTACTTCACGAGCAACGAATATTTCACAAGTCCTAGTAGATAAATGACATATCCTTCCCATGCCATGACGTCTGTAAGTCCTGATCACTCCTCGAAAGGTAATGACGACATGCTCGGTCGCTGGTCATTTTCGGAGGCACAGTTCAGCTTTGGGGTATGGAGTTCTAGACGAATAATGATATTGATAGCCAGAATAATGCAAAAAATGCGGAGAAAATTCCAAAAGTGGCATATTCGAAAGAGATATAAGGTTTATCACGTAGTAGAATTAGGAATTGGACGCGAATGTCACGACAAAAATCGCAGGGGAAGGTTCTTGGACGAGCTGCCCGAGTGAGTGTGCCATAGCGCGCAGCTGGCAACAGTAAGCTGCCTGTGTGCAGTGTATGCGTTCAGGTGCGCATGATGCAACCTCTACAGGCTCTACAACGTCGTGAAAACTCATCCGTCTTTTGAGCATGTACGTCTGCTAAGCCAGCCCTTACTACGCCAAACCATCTCATGACCACAGCGTCCCTTGTTCTTGAAAATCGAAGCTTTATCCCAGGAAGAAAACCAGCCAAACCATCTCATGACCACAGCGTCCCTTGTTCTTGAAAATCGAAGCTTTATCCCAGGAAGAAAACCAGGAAACCATTCCTACTAAACTGCATCGCAACCTTCGAATCCTACTTTATGTTGCGGAAAAATGAATGCTTGAGATTTCAACCACCTCACCATTTACAATCTCTATTCCTTTCCATCGACCCGTTTGAGGTTCAAAAGTGACAGGTGCTGATTTGGTGCCGTTTGCGATAAGTACACCTGAAATAAACATTTCCACGATAGAGACAAAATGAACAAAAACATACAAGGCTGTGTTACTTGGAACTCACCTTGCACGGTGAAACCTGCGTCATCTGCAAATCGTAGAACGACACCGGGCTGAATGACAACAGTCCGATCGGCCGGAATCAAGACGTCCAGCGGAATCTCGTAGGGAGAAGATTCATTTCGATAGACGTCCGGTAGCACGTATTGAATAGATCTGATAATGGACTGATACGTACATAAAACGAGATACCAAAGCAAGCAATTATGTAACGAGAGGAAAGGATGAGAAGCAAATCTATTGCGGAGATTTTGGTCCTGTAGCAATTTCACGAACCTTGTTTGCGCCATGACTTGGCGCCTGGGCGCTAATGTACTTGTGTTCCAATTTGCTGGCTACATGATACCATCGTAGAAAAACGTATGGCCATACTAAGTTAAACTATGAGGATAAGATGTTAGCGCTGATCAATCTCGTTTTGGGATGCGCCGTCGACTATCGTTGCGGATCGTAGTGGCGGCTCTGATTTGCTGTGGCCAACCGATGTACAAGTTGGCACTTTTATTCTCCCAGTTCTAGCACTACGAAACCCACCTTGGAAGGAAGATAAGCTCGGCTGGGGTGGACACTGGAACGGGATTTGGCCCCGAAAACTGAGCACTCCTAAACTATACGTGTGATGATGCTCCTCTTTGTCCCCTTACCAACTCCATCCTCATGAAACACAATCATTCGCTTTAGTTTTAAAAATGAAACGGAACGTGGGAGAAGAGCATTGCCAGAAAATTCTAGATTTTTTTCAAACTTGTTTTGAATAGTAAACGCCAACTCAGACAGAGTAACAGTTACTGCAAGCTCTTCTTGCTGTGCCCATGGTTGGTTCGCGCACAGGTCCAGAATATTTAGGTTGAAAATCTATTAAATAAAATCAACCTACGAGCGCTAGTGCTCCTCTGAGACTTTATACTCCCTTCCCTTCGGGTCGCGTATTCGCCCATACTTTTCTTACCCCCTATGGAACAGTTTCGCCCACTTTCTAAGTACATACCAATACAAACAACCGCAGTAACTCCGCTCACAATTCAGCTCGTTTATCCAAACCAGGTGACAGTTTACATTGTTAAGGTATCGAGTGTTGACGCCTACTTCTATGCTCGTCAAATGAAGCAACGCCGTTGGATAGGTAATTACATATAGTAAACTGGAAAAGGAAACCTACCGTTTCCTCCTAGTTCGCTCAGACTCTCGAACGTGAACAGGTGCAAATTGTTTGCCATGGCGTCGAGGGTGTACGCGTGGTGGACGGCAAGCATCACTGGAATGGCCTAACCGTAAGGTTCATCAATCGGGATTTATCAGTTGTTTGGGGGGGGGGGGGGGGGTTCCAGTCTGGGATTCGTACCCGTGATCATATGTGTGTGTTAGTGCACCTCTCGCCACAACACCACCTCCGCCCTATTGAATGGGTTCAAACTTAATCATATGAATATACCGGAACTTACACAGGGACCGTTGAATTCCTACTGCATGTCTCCACTTGTACATCAATAATTGAAAGCGCAACAGGACTAGAAATAGACAATTGTCTCGCCACCACTTCCTAAATAATAACAATCCAGAAAACATCTTTGTTTACTTACTAAAATATAAAGCTTACCGTTTTCAAGATGAACTTTTCTTTGGTGTTGGTGTAATGCATGATTTTCCAATGACCATGCTTGCATTCAGAAAATAAAATGTCTCTGAAATGCTTGTCTTCCAGGAGAAACCAGAACTCCTATTGGGAAATCAACAACTCACATTTCTTCAGCTCCAGTAAGAGGCTTAAGACAATGAACTGTTAACGATCTGATACATGTCGGTTCATGAAATTGTAATCGTGTAAAAAACCCCAAATATGGATCCCCTGAAATAACAAACAGCTTTTTTGTACCAATGGTTTGGGGACAGGTAATGCAGAAAGGTAGAAAGACTCACGTCCATCGATTGAAATCCATTGATGGCCGGATTCTACCCGTAAAAAAGAAGCAACGACATCTGAAAATGGTAAAATCTCTGGGAAAATCATGAAATGGCGATTTGAATGATCAATGTTACCACCATTCATTGTAAATGCTCAATTATGCTCTATGAATATTTGGTAGGATTTGGTAAAGTTGTGGAGCTATGAGAGCGGGGCGACAGTTTTGAAAAATTTTGAATTATCGCATAGTTAGGGGACTAAATGCTGGATCGAATCCGCCCAAAGCATCCATGACCTCGATTTACCTAAGGGATGCTCATTAGCACTGGTCTGAGAAGATTTAGAGGCCCATAGACGGCCAGATGAGGTCAGACCCTCGATATGTCATTCGTTAAATGGGAAAAGCTTCGAAATGGGGCATTTATCGAGGGATTGCTATACGCTCTATAATCGTCTTTTAAAATGTTTTTATGGACTCTGACTTCACAGATACCCCATTCATCTGAAATAAGATGAAAAGGGAGCTGCCTAACTGATTAAATAAATGAAACAACGACAGCAACTTCCTATGATGCGCCACGCTTTTGCATTTTGCCAGATTCGCAATGGCTTCCAAAAACGGAATTGGCTAACGAAGTTTCTTTTGTGAATCGCAACTCCTTCCTTCTTGGACAAGTTTGGGACGAATCAACTACATCTTTATGCTTTTTCCATCTCAGAATTTTCCTCTACAGGGTTGATCATGATTTGTAGAGATCTCACTCCATTAGACAAGGACAAGACAATTTTCGAGTACACAAAACTTCTTCATCCTTGAGCAGCTAGAACCCAGCACGGCTCAAGAATGTAGATAAGTTGCAGGACATGTCCTCTCTAGCCTTCGCTGTAGATTGCTTTAGCTGCGAGACTGCCAGATCGGAAGCTTAAGTCAATATCCAGAAAAGAGTGGTTTTCAAGTATTTTCATTTATGAGCCACAAATGAGGACTACCTCACGCGCCGGAATGGGAATCATCTCAAATCGTGGCAATGGTGGCCTCGATGTCGTCGACAGGAGTGACATCGTAGAAAACGAACTCGAAATTTCTCACCTTGAACAATAAGTAGACTTAGGGCTATAATTGCTGTTCTCATGACAATCACATTTCCATTCGATTCGAGAGAATGGAAGATCCTGGAAAAATGTGATGAATATGAATAGCTCTTCAGTGGGGAGAAGTGGAAAAACGCGAAGCTGTCGATAGGAAATGTTATGAACGAACGGAGTCATTAATATCAAAGGCGGAAAATTGCATTGGCCATCATCACAGTCATCTGCAGCTATGTTTCACTTCATTAAGAGATTTTCAGAGTGTATAAAGGTCAGAAAGACCGTCGCCGTCAGTGTCGTCCTTAAAGGATTCGAAAACGCCAGACATGACTCACTAAGAGTTCAAAAAAATGAATTTGAATGTTAGGGCTTTAGGATTCCACTTCGACTTTATAGAAGTCTTTGAAGAAGACGGGAATGTCCACATTCCCTCCCCTTGTTTGCACTCAACATTCTTCTTATCTTGAAAAATTTTGCACGTTAACTGAAGTCTTGAATGTCTGAAGTGCTGTTCAAGTAATGAAGTAATCACAAGAAGAAAAAAGAAAAGGAAGGAAAATGAATGCATGACGCATCAAAAGAAAAGAGGGCGACGAAAAAAGCTCGAATATAACGAGTACTTCACGGATTGAATGCTGAAGACATTCATTTTTACAGCTCGAAAGAACATGCGACGCTCTTTTTCAACCCCACCCTTTTGGTTTCCCTTCAAATTTCCATAATTGGAACACCTCTTCGAAGAAGGGGCTGGGCAGAAAGATTAGCAGTGGTTCTCAGTCCTCGTCATGACCGACTAAGCCTTCCTTTCCTTCGGAATCGCTTAGGTTGTATCGATTCGATAAGGCAGGCGAATTTCAGAACAGAGGTTGGAAAATCTCAAGGGAGGTTTTGCAGGATCACTCAACATTCACTTGCTCCTACAGCTGCAAATGGCAGTCGGTTGCGTGGCTCGATCCAAGGGATCGACAATGTTGGTAGCATCATTGTAAAGGGTCTGGTCATTGCACGGCTTTGTTCAAGTCCTCAGTTGTCTCCAAACCGATGACAAGCCCATCCTTTGCTACCTCTACTGACTATTGGGTAAAATTTCTCACGATTTGCAAGGTAGCCGTTTAGGATTAGGGGGGTGTTTGAAAATGAAGGGGTAAGAAAAGGTGATGACGATTATGGTAATGTCAGGAACTAACTTCTTTCGAAATTCCATTAATTTTCTGATTTAACGTTCGCTAACCAATTTCGCAACCATGATGTATCGATCAAATACGCTATCTTCCCAACTACTTGATCTTTTTTTTCTCGGAAGAGTAAGTTTGCAAATACGTGAGTCATTCCAACCTAGACAGTGGAACAGAAGGCAGAATCTACAACAGAATCCGCTCAAAATAATGAGGCTTTCAATCACGGAGTCGACTGATAATGAACATTACCGATGCAACCAGAAAAATTTGGCAAAATACAAAAAAAAACAGTCTATACAAAATCAACGTTGGACTGAGGAAGGGAAGAGGGACTGAAATTTCAAAAAAATTTACAAAAGAAGTCGGTGCATTAGTTTTGTGACATTTTTGAAATCCCAAGTTATCTCGCCACTTGCGAAATATTGCGAGACAGAACAAAAATTCAGTACTGGCACTCGGCTCTTACAATAATCAGGCACTGTATAACCCCATTTTAATACGCTAATTCTCACCCGTCACGTATACGACGCGTGGAAAAGGGACTTGGGCAAGGAGACGGGTTATGCACTTCTACTGCGATGGCTCGGAGTGACCGAGTCACAGATTTGTTTGTGCCATAGGTGTGGCGCACCCGAATAACTCACTAGGGATGCAAAGACTAGTTTGTTGATGCTATTTCCCGTGCGGTCCATGCCATTTATCAACTCTTAGTGTCTCGCTGATCTGCAGATGGGTCCTGTTGACATAAAGGTCCCTTAACCGCTGAGGGGTGAAACTCTTGAAGTTCTAGAACGCAAACATGAAGGTACCGTGCAAAAATACGACGTTAGACTTCAGCATCATAGAGGCTCAGAAGAAGTCCAAGAGTTTGGGTGGCCAAACAACCCAGAAAGCAATCAAGGGCAACGGTGTGAGGCTGATCAGCCCTAGCTTCGTCGTCCTCGTTTGAGTACAGTTCACGGGGAGATTGATACTGGAGATGCAGGCTGGATACCCATGGTAATTATAAAACAAGGACAGTGGATCCTTCAGTGCCAGCGCAGGAAGTCGTGGTTCTCAGACAAAGGCATCGCTTTGCTGTTGGTGAACCGTACAGGTGTGATTACATACCTTCAAGCTGCAATCAAGCGGTGTTACGGTGACACAGAAACTTCTTCAACTGCTAAAGGAATCCGTTAGTACTCTGGGCCTTCTGGGCCAACATAACAAGAGAAACCAATGAATCGTTGAAGAACATGACAGTGCTCGCACCCTCCTTGCAAGGAACACACACACAAAATCGCGGAGTACAGTCGGGAGATCCTATCTGAACTCCTACCCATGCACCTGTGGGTGCTCTCCTAGACAAAGACCACCCAATTATCTCACTCGGTACTTTCAAATATCATTTGAATGAGAAAAGCTCTATTGGTTTCGCCACCCTCGAAGCCCGTAATGCAGAGTAGCGTATATTTCGAATCGAGGCCACGAAGTCTTAGGAGAAGGGCATTGAGTAACTGTCAAGGCATTGAGCAGAAGTAAAGGAGAGAGTAAAAGAGAGCAACGGTGAATGTATTGCATAGTGATGCCTGTTCAATACCTAACAACAGAGTTTTGAAAAAAATGTCGCATGCATAGCAGGACTCAAGTTCGACCTTCAATAAATCTTGACATGGTTTTAGTAAATTTAGACTTTCGACTTTCAACTGTGAAAACCTGCGACCAAGATGATAAANGCAGAGTAGCGTATATTTCGAATCGAGGCCACGAAGTCTTAGGAGAAGGGCATTGAGTAACTGCCGAGGCATTGGGCAGAAGTAAAGGAGAGAGCAAAAGAGAGCAACGGTGAATATATTGCATAGTGATGCCTGTTCAATAATTAACAACAGAGTTTTGAGAAAAATGTCGCATGCATAGCAGGACTCAAGTTCGACCTTCAATGAATCTTGACATAGTTTTAATAAATTTGGACTTTCGACTTTCAACTGTGAAAACCTGCGACCAAGATGATAAACAAGCCCTCATCCTACTTACGTTTCGGCTTTATCGCCTTCGTCAGAGTCTGGAAACTCAAAGGTAATTGTTATCCATCCCTCATACAACATTATAAAACTTCTTGAAATAGTTCGCTAAATTCAGTGTTTCTATGTAGGCATGATAACCACAAACACGGATCGATACCCGCCTAGTCCAACCAAGCCTTCCATCCCTCTGGGGTCGCTTAATTGGTAGCAGACTTGTTTGGGAGGATAAAAGGCCTGACTTGTACATCGGCTGGCCAAAGCAGGTCATTGCATAGGCCGCATACGCACTCATTACGCCACTACGATTCTGAATGGAAGTCGAGTGCGGGGGCGCATCCTTCAGACGGGGTTTATTAACGCCAAAAACTCTATCCTGTTCCTTTACCCACAAACATTTTTCACCCCCTCAAGAGACGATCGGCCCTGTGGCCGACTCACTGCTAAACTGACTGAATACTCTGCCTAGGGAACTGTTTAAAGCTGTAATTGCTTTATGAGGGATGTATAGCAATTAACTTTGAATCTCCAGACTCCGACGAAGGGATCTTGGTCGCCGATTTTATCAAAAGTCGCTTGAGATTTATAGCATGACTTATGGAGCAACCTGATGATAGGCTAAACGAGGATATACTTTATGCTAATAACAAAAACGATAGATTGAGTATAGGCATCAGTCATGGGAACGAAAAAGAAAGGACGACGACCCGTTCATGAATTCAAACAAATTCATTTCCTATTTCAGGACACCTCAGCCCGGAACCCTGATATTCCATTAACAAACTTTTACAACAAGCCGAAACTGAATCAAGTCTGTCTTCGCCTTAGCAACTGATGTTCTGTCCTTTCCTCTAACGTCTGATCATAAATCTTCAAA